TGAAGCTGCAGGGTACATCAACTACTACGTAATCGCTTTGTAGGACAAAGTCCAGGAAGACAGACATGAGCCGGCTAAGTGATGGTACTCTCATTATTCGTGGTGAGAAAGTTATATCAAAGAATGTTGGAGGCATCGGATTTGACGTACACCCTGTTGTCCATCTTGTCGGTTCGCATGAGATCCTATCCTCGCCTGGCTATCCTTCGACCCTGTCCTCTGCATTAGAAAAACATTACTATCATCAACTGTTATTCTCTAACATCAGCAGCTATTGATTCGGAAGTCGATGCCTTTCGTGAGGATTTGGAAGAGGAAATTCGTCGTGGGTGACTTCTGCGAAAATCGGGATACCAGAAGAAGGGGAGCATAGGATCGGGAGATTTGAAATAGGACTCCGGAATGATAATGGTAAGTTTGTTGGGCGCTTATCCGCCGCACGACTTTTTCATGGCAACTCCATCTTTATGAAGAAAAAACAGTGAACGGTGAACAGACATGGGAGTCACCCAACGGTACGACTCATGCGATGATCGACCACATTCTCACCAACTGAAGGTGGTGCTTGTTGGACATCTCATTGGTCTCCTTCAGGTTCGAGTAAAAGTGCGATTCAGCCGAAGCTGGAAAAGAAGATCTGCTGGTTGAAGGAAGGAGAGAATTCGATACGATGGCATCAGAATGGAGGAGGTCTTGAACGCGTGCAACTGGCCCATCGAGGAGGACCCAACAAAGGACTACGACCTCTTCTCAGAGGACTGAGAGCCTGTGATGAATGTGCCTCAGTTCCTCGAACAAGGAACTTAGAACGAATTTTGAAAACCAGCAAGGATCTGTTAGAAAGGAGGAGAGCCTTGAGGTTGGATCTGACTTCATATCTTGAGCGACTGGTAGCACATACCGGGTGAAGGAAAACGGATCTTCAAAAATACAGACAATCGAAACTTTTGGAAGCACCGCAAGGAAGTAGAAGTATAAAGAAATACCGCCGGGACCTTCTCGACTGCGTATTCCGCTGAGAGCATCAATAAACGAAGCGGGACTTGCACATTTTTCCTAAAGAAGATAAAATCTATCACATATTCTACAATTTTTTCCGCTCATCAACACCCTTGTGAAATCCCGTTCCCACTAGAGAACTACCATCACCTATTTCACCTGCAATACGCGCTACAATTCAGACATTGAAGGCATCCATTGCTTCGGGAGGGACCACGTTTCGGCCGATTTCTTACGAGCTGG